TGCACGGCCCGGGCCTCCCCGCCGCTTTGCCAGCTACGGATGATCCCTGAGAAAACGGCCGTGCTGTTTGCTGAAGTTGTGTGTGTGTGTGTGTTTGTGTGCATGTATGTGTGTGTGTGTATGTATGTGTGCATATATGTGTGTGTGTGCGTTTTGGGGGCTGAGGAGAGGCGGAGAATATATACCCATCTCTTACCAATTTCTTTCTCTTTGTTTCCTCCCTCCCGCAGCTGGTTCTCCTGGCAGCCTCGTCTTGTGCCCGCGCCACAGCCATGGCATCCGTGCCCTCCGCCGGCTGCCTCATGGCCAAAAACCAGTACTACAGAAGTAAGCGCTGCCTTTGCCACAGCTCCCAGGGTACCGGGTAGTTCATATTTGAGGGGGAGGTGGACTTAGCATCAGAGAAGCATCGAAAAGTAGGGCTGGGGGGGACCTCTGCTTTGAGACAGCTTTCCAGGGGTGAGCATTCACAGTCACTCCAGACCAGGGAATGTCTTAAAATCAGCTTAGGAAGTGGTGAGGTCCATTCCCAGTTAATTGGAGATACGGAGCAAGATCATAAGCTTTCTGCTTTATGACAATTCCCCGTCTTTCTCCTGTGGGATTTCTTTTTTTTTTTTTTCCATTAAGGAGTTCAGGTACCTCCGCTATTCATCCATTTCTTCTTCTTCCTGGAAGGATTTTGTCTTGTTATTAGGAGTGTATAATTTCTCTTTGTCCCTGATAAACTTTACAAAGTGTTTCTGGTACATAAAGCACTGGACTTAAAGGTGGAGTGATTTGTCTCTTGTCTGCCCTGGACTTATTATTGGCTGTGGGCAGGTCATGTAAGGACTCTGTGCCTGGTTTAGGATATCAGAGTTCATTATTTAAGACGTCAGGCCTCTGTTCTGATAGCGTTGCATGCTCTGATACATTTAGCACGCTGGACTTTCATTGGCTTCTGGGAAAGTTACCCAAGCAAATTACATAGCAATGTGTGGTTTCAAGGGAGGAATCAATTGTAGATTATCTCATGAAAGAGTTATCCTACTGTTATACCAATATTACTAGTGATAAAGGTAGTAGGTATAATAATAACAAAATATGGTTTCTATTTAAGAAAACTTTTATCTAGATGTTTTCTATGGGGTGTTAGTCAAAAAGGACTTCAATGGATATTTAGCATGGAATTTTTTAACACAGTTAAACATCAAAGTTTTGCTTTTGTACTCCATATACAGCTCGGCTGAATTCAGAATCCAGTGTTTCATCAAGCAGTTCGTCCTGTTGTTCTGACCCTGTGAACTTCTCAGACCAAGATAAAGTTCTTCATGGTATTACCTCATCCCCTAAAACAAACTTTTTTATATATATAGTTTTGACATTTCGTTATTCAGTCAATCCCTAATGGTGCATTTCCTTTTCTAGGGTTACCTGAATTATTTGATAAATGTTGGTGGATAAAAAACTTCTTCCCCTGTGAGCCAGCTCCTCCAAATGTGGGCAGAAAAACATTATCAGCCAGCAGGTGAGACTTGCTTCTTGCATGGTGGATATAAATTGTGGGTTTTACTTTTCTGCTTTACTTCAATACTACCAAATACTAAATATTACCAACTACTAACAACACTTAAAACATTGTCAAGATACAATATCTTGATTTAAGGAAAAATGTAATGAAAGCGCATGGCTGAGGACTGTATATTCCCAATGGTTTCTTCATATAGAAATTTGCAGCAAGCCGTGAATAGTGGCCAGAATTTTTGTGAATGCTTTTAGTGATAACACAATATTGTATTTAATGCTATGCTTGTAAGATAAATGCCAGTTGAGTTGACATAGGTAGATTTATTTTTAAAGTTTTTGTTTCTTCTTAATATAATCATCACTATGTTCATAATTTGTCTGTCTTTTTACAGTGCTAACAGTTGATTGTGACTGCAAGCTGACTTTACCTGCAGTGATATTGCATACACAGACTCATTTTTCTAAAGGCTCAGGGTCTTCCAGATGTCTGCATTCAGCTGTTCGAAGAAAATAAACTGCTTGAAACTACTTTTACAAGAGGAAAAGTACAATTACAGAAAGATTTTCCAGTAGCTTAAATGGTTTTGCTTAAGGCAAGAGTTATTTGTATCTACCCTGTCTGCTACAGCATTGTTAGTGTTTGAGAAGCACCTTGTATATTTTCAAATGGAAGATAACTGGATATGATATCCTAATGATTTGCTCAGATTATTGGAAGAAGTGACAGAACAAGTAAGAGGTGACTAAAACCAGAAAACTTTGTGTTGCAGATAACTATGCAGCCAGCTATCTTGTTTTGTAGGTTTAAAGTTTAATAGATCAATTGTGTGGACATCAAATCGATGCAAGCTAGGTTAAAACGAATGGATTCCTTCATATACTACATCTGATGCGTTTCCAAGAGCCAGATATAGCAGTTACATATAACGTGGAGCAAAGCTTACAAAGCAGTTGTGTTAATAGCTTTACTTGTAAAAAGTCCCATTTAACAAAGTCACCTTATACAACAGTCACTAGATCTATCCTTTTGTGCTGTTTGGTGGATTTTGAGCTCATCTGTGCAGGTGCAGTTCTCATGCCACATCTGTGTACTGTGGTTATGAAGGCCTGCCAAAATATGTAAACTTCATGGGCTGATATTTTATAAGTATGAGGGCAGCCATGTTTCATTTCATTTATACTTTTACCTAGTCTGCTATAGATTAAAGAGACACTTGTTTGCTCATGACTAGTTTTTCCAAAGATTAATGGCTGCCTGCCAACTGCACAGCAGATTGAACACCTTGCATAGCCACAATTCTGATATTAACCAATTTTTGTGCTCATACAATAATAATACCTTTACACTTATATTTCTCATTTAGTATTTTTCATTTATATTTTGTTTCTCTTTTTAGAAGCTCCCAAGCTGCTTAAAACTATATTAATAATAATTGTTTCACTTCCTGTGGTGTGCAGTCTAGCAGCAGTACAGATTATACAGCAATACAACCCAGCATTGTAGTTTTTGGTAGATGTGATAGTTGAAAGCCCTTAGATGGAAAAGAAAGTTGCAAGTATTTGGCTCGCTGCTTCATTTCATGTTTTAGGACTGTTTTATTGAACTTATGAGGTACCAAGTCTATTTGCTTACTCAATATATCTGGCACATTTAATCCAGAAAGTGAGTAAGTACCAATATATCCTTTTAATATAAAATGTTTTAAAATTGTGTGTTCTATATTACAGTAACAGTGCCATACATGTGCATAATGATTTAGATTAAAAAAAAAAAAGAGTTCCAGCCTCAGAAAGCTTACAATGTATGTCAAGATAAATGCAAGGAGGGTGAGAAGAATGCAAAGACAACTGTGAAAATACTGTGTTAGAACTCTGTAACTGTCTTTGTATAGTTTATACCTCTTTTTTGTTTAAAATTAATGTAAGTCTTGATTTTAGAATTGTCTTTATTTAAGTATATGGAATGAGCTACTCTATTTTTATACTCAGAAGGTTTTGTATGAATAAATGTTTCATTATTCCATAGTTTTGAGACTATTTATTTTCTAATGGTACTGTTCACAAGAACTTCTGGGGAAAATGAACAAAAGTTGAGGCCATCACTTTTTCTGCTATGGCTGTTTAAACACTTGAAAAGGAGAGGAAAAATTTGAACTAAAAGGAAAAGCCAGGAAATATTTTCTTTAATGTGTCGATGAATGTGTAGTAGTTAAAAAATATGGATCTATAACTTCAAGTTTCACAGGCCTCTCTTTCTTTTCACAGATATGTAGAATAAATAGAAGGGGGAAAAAGTGGCCTTTCACTCCTGTTCTGACAATAGAAGTCCCCAGCATAATTCAGGACTAGGGCCTGAAAGGAGCCATTAAACCATCTTTTCATTTCCTCATTTGGCCCCAGTCAGTTGTAATCAGATTAGAGGGGCTGATACAATGGCTGGAAATTATTATAAAAAAGATTTTTCTTGCATTTTAGCAATCTTTGGTTTGAGTATTATCCCTGGTGCAACTGAGAACCAATTCTGACATTGTATTGGTAACAGCTATTACCAATATGTCAATAGAAAATTCTCTTGTACTAGGACAGTTCTCTTTGGGCCTTCTCTGCTAGTTAGAAGCCCACCTTACATTATTTTGCAGTTTAGTCCAGGTCTGTACCAAACTGCCTACTTATAGCTAATTGGACATTTTCCACATAAATTCCCCAAGTTTGACAGATTTACCTTAATCAGATATTATTCTCATTCATCTAAAACAATAAATAGGACTTGAAAAAGGACTTGACTTTGGCCTAACATATCAAACAGATGATATATAATAATGGTGTTCCATTTCCCTCCCCAAAGAAAGAGATGAGGCTAGTCATCCCATTCATACTTAATGGAAAAAAATACAATGCCTTTTGAGGGCTTTGGCCATTTATTTCAATGAGAAGGATGAGGTTCAATTTGTATACTTCATCTGGTAATTCTGAGAAGCAAAATCTGTAACCATACAATATTTTCTAGGATATATAATAACGGTATGACCATTTTTGCATTCATGTTACTATCCAGTTTCTGGATAGGTTCCTCAATGACATAAGGCTCATTACATGCCTTAGAGGGCTTCTTTTGCACTGAAATAAGAGGGAGAGTCTGTGCTGTGCCTGCTGTAAATTATTAATGTCTATACTTTTTCTGTGAAATATATTACTGTCTTAATTATAATGGTTGAGCCCCCAGTAACACTACATCATTCTTCCTGGATAAGCAAAGATTTTTTTTCAATACTCTTTTTATTTCAGAAGCTTGAACTCCAGTACCACAAACTGTAAAATACTATCACATAATAGTGATAATCACTGGATGGCAGTATAACAGACATTTTGTTTAAATACATGTATTAGAAACCAGAGCTTGGAGGAAATACTGTGCTACTACTGGTAATACTCTGTATTTTCCATGATCTAACCATCTAAACATTCAGTAAAACAGAATCTGTGAAAGTACATCCAACAACAATATCTGTAACAATGTGCAGCATGATAGATTGTCTATAAGAAAATACATACCTCTGGGGACAGAATTCCTTTGAAAAAAACCAAGGGGCTGTTTTGGTTTGCAGCTTTGCATACTTTTCTGCAAAAGACTGTGTTATGGCCTTGTTACATGTTGCACTTTTTGCTGCTCAAATGTTGATCAGTGTTAGTGCTAGCTCGAGTTTAGAGCAGTTGCACCTTAAGGCTTTTCTGACTAGCTCCCTACCTGCACAGCTGTGACTTGCCGCTAGAGGGCTGGTGAGCAGAAGCTTGACTAGGAGACACAGCTGTGAGTTGCCACTACAGAGCTAGTGAGCCAGGACAGGCTGCTGCTTTAGGTGAGGGTATGAGAGAGGGATTAGGGATTGGGAAAACATGAAACTGGGAGGCAGAGGCTTAAAGGGATGGGGGTGCATAATGGAATGGGAGGTGGACAGGAAATGGGGGTGGGGGAAGTTTGGTGAAATGAAGGAAGTCAGCCACTGAAGAATAAAATAAAAACAAGGAAAAAAAGAACTTAAAAATAAAGAGGAAGGAAATCAAAGAAATGCTCATGTTTTAATAATTTGGTATTTGGGATTGGAGTGTGGGGGGTGCTGGTTGTGTTTCCTAGGGTGGCTAGGAGGTAGGGGTGGTGAAGGAAGGTGCTTTTGGAGGAGCTACTGCCACCACCCCGGGAAGGAAACACCAGCTCATGGGGACCAGATCCAGTGCCCTACTGTGCTTCCCCCCAGGATCTGCCTAAAATTAATGTGTAACAAAGCCCCTAATAAAGACCTTTTAATAACACTTACATAAATGTACTTGCAAATGGGAAAGGAAGCTAGATCAAGTTATTTAAAATAAGTACAAAAGTTAAATTGTTACTATGATGGCCCAGGAGATATGTAAAGGCAAGAATTCTTATGGGTGATACCCTTTTTTTGGTATCCAAACCAACTACCTTAGTTGCTGCAAAGGCAAACTTTGTGGTTTCACAGTAGCCTTCATTAGGCCTCTGAAAATAAAGCAGACGCAGCTGAGCAAAATAGCAGGTTGAATGAAAACTTAAGTAGGGCCATTATAACCTGTGAAGTGCAGAGGACAGTGAGTATTAGGAAGATCACAATGAACCATTGTCCGTATGTTATATGTCCAGTTAGGTGCTTAGTGTCCAATTAGGCTGATGCATTTCTGTTCCTACTCTTGTCTTGTAAAGGTATTGAGGACTTTTCTATGAGAGATCCCTTACAAGAATTCTTGCCTCTCTTTAAGTAACCATGTGAGAGGCAAGGATTGTTTTGGGCTGACATCTTTTGTCTTGCATTCAAAAGCTTGTCCAACTTTATTCCAACCATGCAGTTTCTTCAATAAAATATATTGCCCCCCAAAAATCCTTGCCTCTCCCATAATTCCTGGGCCATCATGGCTGCAGTATCACTATAACACTACTTCAAAGTAAATATATCACGTTGTGCACATAAAGACTATCTCATAAATAACATTTTACTTCACAGCTTATATGTCATTCCCCAAAAGGACTGTGTAACCTACCTCTGGTTTAAAGTACAGGGCAGAAGTATTCTTTACTATGAATTCTGCATTGCCTAGTGAGTTACTATGCCAGTAAATGACTGAAAAAGCACAAATCCTAAAAGAGGAGAAACAGTAAAATACTAGCTATTTATATGGCTGCTTGAACACTTAAACTAAGGAGAGTTTCAACCAAGCTGAAATCTCAAATAGATCAGATTTAGGCTGCTGTAACTTTTAGTGGACACTCATGTGGCCTTCTACCTTAGCATTCACTAACACTGGCAGTTTTATATCAATAGTTTGTATAAGGATCAGCGGTTCTTAGATTATTATTGTTTTCAATATGGATAATTTCTGTGAAAGTTACATGAACATACTATTTTCCATGCACTGTCTCTTATTCTTTGACGCAAGGTTTTCACAAAACCTCCCTGAATTTGCATCACAAAAAATGTTAGAATAAATTAATATTTTCTACTGTATGTGGGAAAGATTTAATTATTATAGCATTAAAAACAGTTCTTCAAAACAGTACCACATAAAACTCCATTAGAGTTGTTTAGAATAGTTTGTTAGATAGTAAAGGCTTTGTTTAGTTTGTGATGGCATACTTCAATTCTGATATTACAAAACTGAAGAACTCTTACCTTAATGTATACCGTAACAGTACCCCGGGTTTCCTTGTATGACCCTTACAGACGGGGGCAATGGAAATGTAGCTTACTGGGTGTCATCAGAGGCTGTGTCTATTACTCCTGCTTCTCAGCTCCTCTGCAAATGAAAACGAGCCTGCTGAGCGGATTCAGTTATATGTACCAAAATTAAAATTGCTTGCAAAACATTTCTCAAATGATTGTATCTGGAGCTGATGACTTTGAAAATGTTGACCATATTAATGTTCACTGCCTTAGCTGACTTCTTGGTATTAGAAGGGCTCTGTCAGAATTCCCATGTCATGTGCTTCATCATAAACCATTTTAGATTGTTCCAGCACAAGCAGAAGTGAAACATAATCATTGAACGAAAGTTTGTTTAATAGCAGGAGCTAGTTTGTAACAGGGGAAGGAGTCAAGTCACTATATAGGAAAGAATATGGGGGCTGGGAGGGGATTCTTATTACTGCCTTTTCTTTTGTTGTCTGTGTCATAGATACTGGGGATAATGAGCTATTCATATAATTTTCTCTGCCATGGAATCCCTACACCTACGCTAAAGACTGAAGTGGAGCCACATGATCCAGCCAGGTAATAGCAGTGACCTCCTGGCCTGCTCCACCATTACGCACGGTCTCTTTGTGGAACCCCAGTGACCTAGTGTGGAATCCCAGGGCTCCATGGAGCACAGTTTGAAAGTCACTGTGTTATAGGAATCACACATTCCTGTTTAAATCCTTGTCCACTATTCAAGGACAAATTCAAACCGCAAATAAGATGTAGATTTTTTAACAGTGAGAGCAATTAACCATTGAAACAATTTATGAAGGATTGCGGTGGATCCTCCATCAGTGGCGATTTTAAAATTGAGATTAAATACTTTTTCTAAAAGAAATGCATTCATTCGAGGAAGTCCTTTTGCCTGTGTTATAGAGGAGGTCAAACTAAATCAATAATGACAAACTATATCTACATAGAACATATCTACTGTACTGCTGAACAGTCACATAAACCCTAACAGACTGTTGATTTCAGTTTCTGTCAAGAACCAACAAAAAGAGTTTTAGCAAACACTTTTTGAAAATAATTTCCAGCACCTATATATCTTACATGGCTCTTCTGACCTCCTCCTCCTTTTAGAACACAGACTATATAAATCTTCAGGTTGCCCTTGCGAAATCTACAGCTCTAGCAGCACACAAGCAAACGTTTTCACCTTGCACCTGAAAGACAGCCCAAGTGAGATCCTGGTGTCAGCTATACAAGTGGAGCGATATAGTAATTATGCTGAAGCCAATGGGGTGACTCTACATTTGTGTTTGTGTATGCTAACTGGGG